CCGGGTGGGGGGGGGGGTGATGGCTATGAGTTGTACCCTTCAAGTTGGTTCCTTTCTGTGATGTTTCCCCCCCCCCCGCTGGCCACTGTCGGGAAGTTACCAAGACTTGGCGATTATTCTGTCGCAGACGATGATACAGAAATCCTCCTGAAAAGGGGGGGATTATCAGGCTATGTCTGTTGGACTCTTCAAATTGTAATGAGAACCACTCGCATATTTCCAAATCACTCTTCAACTGCATATCTTTTGAAACTGTTCCTATTCTCCATTAAACAGTATTAATTGAGAACTATCAGTTTTGTATAGCTGACATGATCTCATGTTTGTTGGAAAATTTCTTAAATAAGCAATCAGCACCAGTAGGAAATGCTTCATAACAACTCACCATCCTGGAAGGGCTTTTTCTTCTTTACGAGTATATGAGAAATTTTTAAAGAAGCAATAGTAGAATTTATCTTAGTACTTTTTAGTTTATATCCGTCATTGAACAGCCGACCCAATTTTGGGTTTACGACTACTTATGTTCAACTCCATAGCCTTGTAATTTTGGACCAATCCAGAAGATGAGGACACTCCTGGATCAGTACCTCCAGAATTATGATTTGAGTACTTTGAACATGGAACATGGAGTATATGAACATGGAGTACTTTGACTCGACAGATTTAACGTGCATAACTGCACGGAGAGTCTTCAGCCGGATCGAACTCTTGGACGTGGGCCCAGTGCCCTACCAACCAGGCTATCCCAGCCTTTATCTTAGTACTTGTGAAAAGTGACTGTTGAACCGAAAGATTTGATTTTAACTGCTCTTTTTTCGAATTGCAGATTTAAGTAGATAGCTCGCATTAAAAATAGAATGAACTGTTTGGAAATTACGTTCAACATTGTTTTTTCGGCATGGCAATACTATTTACACATAACAAGCAAACACATTTATCTTTCTAATTGATGAGTTTCGGAAAGACGCTTTCTTGGTACGGCAACCATAAAAATGGACTGATTGATTTTATTTCAGGTGTGGGATTGTTGTTGTTGTAGCTCATGGGCTATTGACGCACAATGGACTATTGACGATGGTCTGGGAAACATCCCTGAGGATTCGGTAGCCCGACGACTAGCATGCAAAGTCGAGCACTTTACGGTAGAACAGTTTAACGAGGACTCTAAGCAGACTGATCCAAGTGGTCACCCATCGGCACATTGACCGCAGCCAGTGATGCTTGACTTCGGTGATCTGCTGAGAACCGTGTCTAAACGATCAGTCCACTGCGGGACTTCAGCTGGGAGGAATTAGTGTGACAGAGACTTGGCGCTAGTGGAAAATAACTCAGCTATATTTTGTTTTGCGCTTATATGTGTGGGGATGGAGGTCATTTTCCTGGCGACTTCTGTTTTGGTTGTGTTTATCATCAATAGTGAAAAAGCAAAAAAAAATTTGCACAGCATTTTATGGGAAAATGGAAAACTGAAATATTTTATCTTTGGGCACAAGCAGCGGGCGCACCTAGACCGATCGACGGACGCCATGGTGCCCGCTGGCATAGGGTTGGGGACCTCTGACAAAGAGTTGGGGACCTCTGACAAAGAGTTTCTATTGCCTCTGAAGGGGCTGTGTGTGTTGGGGGAACTTTTGCGATATCTTATTGTTATTGATTATTGTTATCCATTTCTTCATATTTTTCACCACCGTTTATTTCAGCAACTGAGCTGTATTTAAATTTTATATACATCAATGAATTAGTTAGAAATAACAGTTATTCAGTCCACATACAGCGTTTCAGTCTTTGCTTATGTAGTTATCAATTTTAATTTTTGGCTTCAGTTTTTTACATTCAGATTCTTTTGGAAGCAGAAATCTTGCTTTTTTATAATAGTTTTGAATACACATTTTGCTAAATCTCGAGAAATTTTTAAACAAATCAAAATATTTTTGTACACAATTATAAAATTTGTTAATCCAACGATAATTCCATTTACAAATAATTTTTATTTTATCTAATAGTTGTCAAAAAATTTCTGTTTTGTAATGTGTACAAATGTTAATGCAATTTTAAAGTATGTTATTTTAAATATCAAAAGCATGAAATTTGAACGGAATAGATCAACTAGTTTCGAAGTTAACACATTTTAAAAACATCAATATTTAAAACTTGATTTCTCGAGAACTATTTCACCAATTTTATTTAAATTTTGTATTTAGTCTTTTAATATTTCATACTTAAATATAATATTTTACAATATGCGCACAGTATGCCAAATTTGGCCATTTTAACATGAGCTGGAATAGAAGTTATTATTGAATGGTTTATGAGCTGGAATAGAAGTTATTGGAATTAGTGGTCCCCAAGATGTTTCAGCGATGAAAAGGCTGCTTTGACATGTCAGTGTAAATCAATTTGTTACACTTGTTTACACAGAGCTTCTTTGCTCTAATTTTGTATTTCAGGCCTAGGCTATCCACAGCTTTTCATATATGTTCTGAACAATGTAGGTGCTCCTTTATGTCCTTAGCATTGGTCATTTTGTGATAGAATATTGGCAGTACACAACTTTCTTTTTTTTTCCATGGAACTGAAATAAATATAATACAATAGCAATTTAGTTTAACCTATGATTTTGAATAAAAGCTTAGAATTAAATTGAAATGTGTAAAAAAAATTATTGGTGCTTTGTGGTGACCCCCTAATCTCTGATGCCCTACACACGTGCTTAGTATGCTTAATTGTTAATCCTGCCCTGAACTTTGATATAATAAATTTCACTGGAAAAAATATTCCCTGCTAAAAAGATTTTAAAAATTATCTCCCAAATATTAAAAAAAGGATTGCCTAAATAATCAAAATATTCCTTAAATATCTAATTGAAAGTTCTATAAACTTGTATAAAATATTATTTTAAAAAATGTCCCCTCCCTAAAAATAGCTGTGGAGAATTTCTCCCCTTGTTCAGCATACAATTTAATCTTCTTATATTTAACAAAATTTTTTCTTAATAAAATATAAACACATATTAAATAAAACTCATATTTGGTTCTCGTTAAAATATAAATTTAATCTCAAGTGTTATGAGAATTTCATTAAGCTAAATATTTTAAATAAGAATCTAGTTTATTAAAATTTTCTCTTTAATTAAGAAAATATCTATTTGATTTTGAAAAAAATCTTGAATAAATAAGCCCCTGTTTTAAAATAATAGAAATCAAAGTATATTAAAATTATAATATTTTAATTAGTAAAATGACACACACACACACATCTTTTTTTTTTCAGTTAAAAATTTTGTAGCAATGCTTTTCTTTAATTAGACTAGAAATTTTCTTCAAGCTGCCTAAATTTCTCCCAAACTTTGTTCATACGTTCAAACATTCTCAGCACCTCTGGAGTTTACAATCGAAATAAATTATATGCTGTAAGGGATATTCATATTACATATAATTTGTTTTATTGATATATTATTATTATACAGTAATATATTAAAATTTAGTCAAATTTTTAATCATGTATTTTTTTTTCCAGGTGTTTGGTTCATTTATATTAAATTTTGTTTGCAAAAATTCAGATTACTGAAGTATGTTTAACTTCATATAATCTTATATAAAAAGTAAGTTAAATTTATAAAACATTAAGTTGCTAATTTCAAAGTTTAATTTGGTTTCATTATTGCAAAAAAAAATAATAATAATATTTGGAAATGATAAAAAAAAAAAATCAGCAAATTTCTTCTTTTAGCTATATGTGTGTTGGACCTGACAGGATTCCCACGGTCCTTGAAAGTCCTTGAATTTTTTCCCGCTAAATTTAGGTCCTTGAAAAACTTGATAGGTCTTTGAATTTATCCAATACTGCCAGCGGCCCTTTTTATAAAACACCCGCGGATCTTTCTGTTTTGTTCCTGAGCTTTCTCACGTGGTTTTTGGCGCCACCGTTTCTAGCCGGGCCTAGTGTCTTGGTATCTGGCCAAGCGCAATAAGCCTTCTTTTCAAATTTTTTCTAGAGAGAATTATAGGGTAGACTCCTTTTTCCATAGTTTTATCAGTCAGAACAAGAAGGCTTATGATAAATTATGGAATACTATGAAAGTGGTTTTTACTCTTTCACATGGACAAGCATTCATTGAAAGAGGTTTCTTCTTCAATAAAAAAAATTGAAGTTGAGAATATGATACAAGAATCATATGTTTCTCAAAGAATCATTAAAGATGCTATAAGATGTTACGGAAACATTCACAATGTACCCATTACTGATGATATGAGAAGATCAGTGTCTATGGCTCGTCAAAGGTATTTAAGTAGTCTAGAGGGAAAATGCAACAATGAGAAAAATGAAGAAAAGAAAGGCTATTGTAGAAGAGGTGGATTTTTTGCAATCTAAGAGGGCTTACTTAGAAACTGATGTTACCCAAATGGAGAAGACATATGAAAACCTAACTGAAGAAGCTGAGAGAAAGAAAAACATTGATTTATTCATCAGATCAAATTCCATTAAAAAAGCTATTAACAAAAAAAATCAAGAGCTAAAAGAAATTGATAGCAAACTAACTGAAGTAACAAAAGCATTAAACAAATGTGATTAATTTTTGTTTTGCATTGCAATCATGGGTCATTCAAAAAGGTTGGACACTTTAAGTTTCAATTTAATTTCTCTATTTTTTATGGAGTAATTATGTAAGATTTTATGACTAAAAAAATGTTTCATAGCTAAATACTTTTTTTTTGTGTGAGAATCAGAATATTATTAAGTAAAGTTAGTTTCACGACCAACTATTTTAGATGACTGTTGGACTTGGGTGACATTTCGTTTTGTAAACATTTTTGTTAAAGTGCAATGTTTTATTATATCATTAAAGTGCAATATTTTTATTATATCATTAGAGTGCAATGCATATTATGTCAAATTCAAGTGCAATGTTTATTACTTTATCTCAGATTGAAGTGAAATATTTTCATTAATTAAGAATTTTTGTTAATAAAGTCATATTGTATTATTTTGTTTGCTTCTTATCTTTTAAGAGACATCACCAAATATTTCCATTGTATTGCTTCCTTTCATTATTTTATAAAATAAGTAAGCTTTATATGGTTCATGAATATGTTCCTTCTAATTTTTATTTTCAGAAAGAATTGTTGCTGCATAACATTTAGAGAAGGTTGTGTAAATTATGGATAAATTAATTTTATAATTTCAGAAATGATGTTTGATGGAGGAGAGGAGGGGGTTATGGAATACCTAAGATTTAGTTCTGTCTCTCTCGTGCAGCCATCACGTGGAAATACCCAGGATTAAAGAAATCTCCTCTTCACCATTAACACCTCATTACCATTAGTTATAGATTGTGCTGAAAATGATTTTGTGAATTAATATTTAAAACCAGTAGGGTTGTTTCTAAAAAAATATAAATGGTTGTCCATAATACATATACTCTCTTCTCTCTATATAGGCAAAGCATTTAGGTATTATATTTGAAATTAATTATTGCCACAACAAGCATTGTTGCTTCTAGTAAAATAGAAGAGAATAATTTTTAAAATTGGTCTTAGATTAAGGTCCTTGAAAATTTTGTTGAGGTCCTTGAAAAGTCCTGGAAAGTCCTTGAATTTCAATCTCATCATAGAGTGGGAACCCTGTA